GGATTATATTTTAGATAGACAATTCATTGAAATGATACATTGATAAGGCATTAATTCATTATATTTTGACAAAATGCAAATTTTGCAGACGTTTAAATCAAAACCCTAAATCTGCCCACTTCTCCTTGTTCCACTTTTTGACTTAATCCTCATTTCGATGTGATGGGTCATTCGTATATTTCGTTTACATGTGTATGTATATCAGGGGTGCAACAATACAGAAAATTCACGATTCAGTTCGGTACTTTAGTCTCACGGTTCGATATTTTTTCAAAACAAGGAGAAATGTCCATGCCTTTTTTAACTTGTCATTTATTGAAATTTATTCTGAACATTTGTTCAACCTCAAAAAGATATGGATTTGGTCAACTGGACTCTGAATGAAACTGACACTATTTTTTTCTACACTTGGAACGAGGGGAACATGGCTGTCTGGGTGGAATGGTTGCTGCTGGACTTGTCTGATTCCTGGGGCTGGAATCTGATACTGTATGCCAGCGCCACTTTCCATCGAAGACATGGAAGATCTTATTTTATTGGATCATGATAACTGGATTCCTGCTGATCGGCGGAGGAGGGTTCCAGATTTATCGAAAAGTGAAAGCAACCCTGACAGTGGAACGGGCCTTTGAAGAGCTGTCGGGCACACTTAAAGGATTCTGCCGGCTGGAAGCACACAGACTCTCAGCTGGGGGGAAAAACTCACAAACTGGATGCGATTATGAGGATCACAACTCAGGAGCGACCCTTCGGCATGTATGGGCTACATCTGGGTGAGCTTCAATTGGTGAGTCGACCTCAGAGTTTGCAGTAAAGACACTTCAAAAGCAGCAGGAATTCCAAGGCTGCTTTGTTCCAAACAACTGGATTAGCTATCTGGCTCCCAGCGGCACGGCCTTGAGGGCCGTGCTTATCTTAACCTCCCCAGGATGGAATGTCAACTAAGATTCGCTCCCACCCCCATCACCTGTGTTGGACCCGGCCTTGGAACTCAACTGGCTGAGGAGGAGGAAAATCTGAACTCTAGCGAACTGAGTAGAGACAATAACATCATGTGACTCTGGATGGGCACAGGGTTGGGCCTAGCATGGACCCCTCAACGCCACCTACTCCTCTGAACCTGCCCCATTTTACCTCCCCTTTATGTGCTGACTTAAGCATCTGTTGCAGCACCTCAGACTGGTTATTTTGTAGTTAACCCAGTAAAACTGCCCCAACAACCCTCAGATACAGAAATAATAAATCTAACATCCAGTTTGGTTCTGAAGCAGAACGTTAGGAAGAAAAAAAAAAAACTCAGTTTTTATCAGGATTCTTTAATCGTTGTATGAATTAGCAGGCTTAAAGAATGAAAGAAAACTACATTTCCCATGATTCCTCGAGTGACCTGCACATTAAACTCAGTGGTCCTACACAGGCGAGCCGGTGACGTCAGTCAGAAACGGAGCCTGGAAGAAGTTCTGCTGATTCTCTTGATGGTCTCTGCTGGAGTTGCTGATAATGTTTCTGAAAACAAAACAAACAGGATTAGAAGCCGACGAGATGATTCTACAAGCTGAAGCAGGCGCCAGGTGTTTCACCTGCAGGTTGATGTAGTGTGCCTCGCTGCAGCAGTGCAGGTCTGTGTCGGAGCTCTCGTTCAGGTAGAAAACGGAGCAGAGGTTACAGAAAAACGCCCACTTTCGGACCGTGAACTCCTCACCTGAAGAGAACAAACACGTCACAGTTATGTAGGAAAGGAGCCGAAGAGTTTCATTCCTGTTTGAACCAAACAGAGCAGAACTCAAGTGTGTTTCTTCCTCACCGAGGGGTCGGTCGGGGTCAAACGGCGGCAGGTGGAAGTCTGCGATGGCGTGAGGAGACAGAGAACGAGACCTCTTTGCTCTGGGTTCAACGAGCTCCTCGCTTTGTTTACAAACAACTGGAAAACAAAACAACAAACCACTCAATGGCTACGTTCACACTGCAGGTCTTAATGCTCAGTTCCGATTTTTTGAAAAAATCCGATC